GTCACGCGATCGTTTGTTTACTCGGCAGCAACCATTGTGTGGTCTTCCTCATTGTTCTTCATCAGCAGTTCTTTCTGCGGTCGATGCGTTGTCGACTTTGGAAAGCAACCGTTCCGTGATGAGTGTGTTAGTGATGACCACGTTTTGCGTCCATTGCTGCAATGGAAGCGTTTAGCCCCCCTTTGGCGATACTGCCATACAATGGAACCACTGGAAGCGGATCCCGTTCTGGTGGAGGATGTACCTTTTGACTATAGTTTTACGATGTTTTGTATAGTGAACAAGAATCCTCGGCTCTGTAAAGTTAATTCGAATGAGCCTTATCAAATAAATTAATGAACAAACAAAAAATAAACTTCTACGACACGTGCAACATTCAAATTGTTTAGGTGAAATGGGGCACCGATTTCCGAAATTTGTGTAATTGAAAATTCGAAGTGGAAGTGCATGTAGGGTTAACTACCCCCTTTCCGGCCTATTAAGCACAACCCGCACTTAGTCTTTCTTAATCTAGCGCAGTTTAGAACCAAACGGAATGTTATTATTACTGATGGCTTCCAAATTTATTTACCTCTCCGTACGTACCGTAAGATTTGATAAAGAGAAAACAATCGTTGAGATATTGTCAAAAATCTAACAATGCTTCTTGACGCCAAACTCGGCTTACGGATTCTAAACTCGGCCTAACGCATTGAAACGGCTTTGAAACGCAATTTAATTCACTTTGGCCTATCAGATGAAGATAAAAATTGATTCGGTAGAAGCGATTCTTTTGTTTTTGGGAATTATGGGTGCAAACCTTCATATCACGCGTTCTCATTGACTTCGTTCGGTAGCTTATTAACTAAAGTATCGCACCAAATGCATAATTGACTTGTTAACTCTAAAATCATGGATTTATTTGAAGTTTTCTGCTCGATAGGCCCGAAATGGGCGATTAGGATAAATTTGAAATTTTCGCTCCACAGTGCTCAAACGGTTCCAAATTGGGCCCTGATTAGCCTCCCAAAATTTGAACTCATTTAGTGAGAAACTGACTTGGCACAAACCATTTGAATTTTATATGGGAATTACTATGGAGAAACCATAATTTCGGTTCATATCTATCTCAAAATTCACCTGTTCACTCTACTCTAGAAAATTATAGCTGAGCTTGTTGAAAATTTTCTCAGCTACAACTTTGTTGAAGACCAATTTTCGATCAAATTTAAGAAACATAAATTATTAATGATTCAAGTCATTAATGTCTTATGATTATGCTCAATCAACTGTTCAGCAGGCAACATTGGTGTTTATGGCTCGTAGAATAGAGGACAAAAATCACGGCTACTATGTCACACAGCAGAATACAGTGTTGCCCACAATACAGTTGCTTAATCTTGCCATAAGATTATCAATCTCTTAAACAATTAATAACTATTTAATTTGACGTTTGACTGAAAAATGATTTTCTTCAAAGTTGTAGCTGATAAAAATTCCTATAAGAATAGCAATAGAATTTGTTAACAGTAAAATATGTTAAAAGGCTAGAATACAATGCACAAAAAGTTTTGTTTTCCCATAGTAATGTCAATATAAACTTCAAATGGTTTGTGCCAAGTCAGTTTCTTATCAAATCTTCTTCAATCCTTTATTTAACGTCGGTCTCTGTTCCGCAATCTAGTGCCAATCACCGACGGACATTTTTTGCAGGAAGGCAGCTTCCACACCTGCGTAGGATATCGCACCCATTCAACACACATGGGCCGGGACCAACGGCTTTACTTCCCTTCTGAAGGAAGACGTGACCAGAGATTTTTATGCCTCAGAAAAATCCCACTGATCTCGGCTGGGATTGAACCCAGACCCATTGGGATGTTAGAAAGCATCGGTGGCGGTGGCTAATCAGGACCCGATTTGAAAGCGTTTGAACACTGTGGAGCGAAAATTTAAAATTTTGCATCAGTCTAATGTATAGCCTACGTGGTGGCGATTTGTGGACTCTACGAGGAATAACCTTAAGCTTCTTAAATAAGTTCATTGTATTACCTAGGAATTCCCAAAGGATGCTCAGTATTCACTAAATATCTCCTAACATTCCCATGGAATTATCTAAACTCCACTCAGAATGATCTAAGAGCAGTCCCGTAAATTTCATGAAATGCTCCTCAGAATTCCCTAGGAACTCTTCTTTGATTTTTCTTAAAATGATTACAGGAATAGCCTTGAAACTCTCATAAGTATGCCTTGAAAGTTTTCCTCAGGAAATTTCAGAAAGTTTCCTTGAATCTTTCATAAGAATTGCTTTGGAATACTTCTTACAATTCCTTTGGAATCATCATTAAACTTTTCATTGAATTAATTCCAAAATTCTCTTATGATTCTCCTTCGTCTTTTGGAATTTATTCACAGGTACCTAGAAGTTCTCCTTACAAATCCCTTAGACAGAACTCCTATTGAAATTATCTTGAAATCCTCCTCAGAATTGTGTTGGAAATTTTCTTTGTATCCTACTCAGGATTGCCTTGGGATTATACTCTATAAGACTGGTTTCAGCCCCGGAGCCACTGAGTCCCTAAAGGGAACTCCCCAAAGCCCCAAGCTGCTGGTCTTAACCAATGGCTGCTCCCGGGGTGGGCACTCAAGTCCCTTGTAGGTTCCGGGTCTCATGGCGTATTGACGTGGGAGAGTTTTCGGATGTGAGGAGACCTGAAATTATGTTTTTTTTTTATTACCTTGTACTTTATTGGCCGGCGATGACAGTGGGGGCGGGGCAGTATTGAACGGTGATCGGCTGGTGGTTCGGCAGACTCTGGCCGGGAAGCGGTGATGATAGCAAGTGGTTCGGCAGACCCTGGCCGGGAAACCACGATGGTAGCCGGTGATGGTATCGAAAGGTGATCGCCTGGGGGTTCGGTCGAAACTGGCCGGGAAGCGGTTATGATAGCAGGTGGTCCGGCCGACCCTGGCCGGGATACGGCGATGGTAGACGCCCGTGTGAGTTTGCCGGTAATCCTGGCTCTAAACGCCGACGAAGGTAGCCCGGGAGGTATATCAGGTGCTGATCGGCTGCCATGTGGGCAACGTGAGGACTTGAATGGCCGGGGTGATCTGGGCTTTGCCGGGTTAGTCATCCTGCAATAGCAGGGGCCGACGACGAACAATGGCGGGCCTACTACGAAGGACTGACTGTCCGCAATGCGGTGGCGATTGATGTCCGACTGATGATCGACTGGCAAGCTGGCGAACTGACCGGGCAGATTCGTGGATAGCCGAGTAACTTGGCCGGTGCCAGGTTGATTCGGCCGACGATAGAATAAGCCAGGGCGACTAATGGTGGGTTGACCGTGAAGCCGGGTATCGATTAAACCTGGAGCGGCAGTACGGCGTCGAATGTAGTCGGACTGAATAACAAGCGGTCCGATATTCAGGACCCCGAGATGACTGGATGACTTGGCCGGGGAACGAGTGATGGTCAGGGCTCCTAGCGGTCCAGAAAACAAAGCGTTCTCACACCGCGTGGCTTGGACCGATGGCGAGGGTGACTAAAATTTCTCACCACACGCAACAAACTTTCCTTGTCGCTTTTACGAGGGCTCACGACTTACTGACTAAATCCACTCTCTCTTACCTCTTCTCATCGACCGTGGTGTTGCGTTTCTCTCCATCCGCCCCCGATCGTAGGCAGCCTTCGCTCTTAGCTACTAATACAACCCTTACACAAGATCCACACATTTCAAAACTGATCGCTCCCCACTTTGAATCGGCCGTTATTTCACTACAATTTATTGGCCCTACTCCCCACATCAATATTTTAAACAATACTATGTTACCCGCCGGTAACAACTCAGAACTACCTTGAAATTATCCTTACGTTACACCTTACTTTTCATCTGGAGTTCAACCGAACGAAGTTGAAATGAATCCTCAGTTGTTACTTCAACCAATCGCCATTTTATTACATTCCACCTGCAGCGTCCTGACCGTGCTCCTTTTGGAAACACGCCTGGGTCTTAGGAATTTGAAACTTCGCCCCGAAGGGACAGCTTTTGCCCATCCCAGGGCACTGTGATGTGAAAGTAAACGAAAAGGCCTCAGCAGAGGACCATAAGAACTGGATCATGGGAGTAATCTGGAACATTCAACGGCTACTATTCATCTGACGATTTAAAGGAGTTACCAGGAAATGGGAGGACCTATTGGAGCACCAGAACGTGTACGCTACCAACTCTGTAATTATGGGGATCCCGTTCTGAAACCCCCGATTTATTTAAACTCTGTCTCTTGGAGGTGTCCTTTCCGAAGTCCCATCCCAAAAGACGAACCATCCAAGGGCTGGCAATTTTACTAATAAAGTTAAAAAATATAATTAGTAGAATTGTGACTCACTTATTTTTAGAAATAATGTTGAGAATACAGAGAAATTCATAGATCTGGTTTGATGGGTTTTGTCCATTTGTTAATTCTATGTTCATGTTATATAAAACCCAATGATAATTAGAGGGTGCCAACCAGTCCAACTTCGCCACTGCCCCAATTATAGACGGGAACATGGCCAAACAATTTCACAATCCTCAATTCCAAACGGCTGATAGTTAATAAACAAAACGCAAGATTTCCTGTAAGCTCCGATGGAACCTCTGAATCCAACTAGACTAAATTTACAGCATTGTTTTTTGGCTACCAGCTTCGAAGCCGCAATCCGGCAGTTGACATTTATTGCGATTTCACATTATGATGATTACCATCAGCGGAATGTAATTTTGATTGAATATTGCGATTAGAAGGATGATGACGATGAAAATTGAATTTTGGTAAAAATTTCTCTGTTCCACTGTACTTTATCAAAAGTATAGCAATTCAATTTGCCCAGCAATAGTAATTATGATTTATCATTGCATGCCCCATCAGACACTTTATCGATCACTCACCACCGTAGTACTACGCCCGAAAAACCATCAATTTTACAACGGAAATCTAATTTCATGTCCTTCGTTTCCCCTCTCTTTCTCTCCCCATAGATTTTCCAGACAATCGATGAATGGCAGGAGCAGTAATAGAAACAACATTCCCCAGCACAGAAGCGGCAGCATGGGAAAATTAATCCACTTCGAAGTATTGCAACTACCAGCGTGAATCCAGCGGCAGCGGTGGAGGCACACGACATATAACACACACTCTCAGGCGGAATCCGACGGGAGAGGACGTAAACAAGTGCGGTGGGCGCTCGAACGACAAACGAAACAATCAATGCCAAATTGATGAACTGATTTATGCAAATCGGGTTTGTGAGAGAGCACAAGTTGTTGGTTCCGCGAATCGCTTGAATCACGTACACATACCTTTCGGTGCCATATAATAATAATAATAATAATCCCCGCAACCATACCTACACAGCAAAAAAAAAGAAAAGCTTCCGGCTTCCGGGTTCCTGATTCCCAGATGAAAAGACGAATCCTGCTACATGTGCAATAAGGCGATTCATTTCGGGTGTGATTTTGGTGCATTCTTCAGTGCTAGTCGTTCTGTGATTGAGAAGAAATTGTTGGTTCGTGTTTTCTGCTGCTAGGAATCGGAAAATCGGGAGTGTAGTAAAAAGAAGAAAATAATGCAAGAAAATAGTGTGACTGCAATTCCTCCGGTGTCCGGTGCGACGGTTACGGCGTCCAGTATTTCCGGGACAGTAGGCGGGGGAGGTGGCGGAGGAGGAGGAGGAGGAGGAGGAGGAGGAGGAGGAGGAGGGGGGAGCGCCAGTGGGCACACATCTTCAAGCAACGTGGCAGCTTCCGGCGCGACGCCAGTGTCTTCTCCCAGCAATAGTAGCAATATCAGCGACATCGATCAGGCCCAGTTCGAGGCGGACAAAAGGGCAGTGTACAAGTGAGTTTTCTCGAGAGATGGTTGGTGGTTTTTGACGAAAGAACTACGTTTTTGTGGACTATACTGGGATGTGATTCCAAAAATTGTGTAATGGAATAGTGTTAAGTTTTAAACGCTTATAACTTGGCCATTTATTGAAGGGATAAAATTCTTTTCACACCCTTTGATTCAGAATTCATGTAAGATTTGTTTGGTATGAAGATAGTAGTAATTGATCATTAGTAAACTATTGGAAATTTATCAAACGTTTAGGCCACAATCAATTAATCACGTGCTCGCTTGGTATGACTATAAAAGAGCTTACCTGTACGTTTTGCTTCAGATCGTCTGGGGATGTGACGGTTGTCATGTCACATCGTTAGACGCCATATACGGCCGATGAGACTAACTCAAAATTGAGTAGAATTTCTCTCAAAATAGTAGCGAGTGAGTAAAATTTTCCTCAAAAATCTGCTAGAAAAAAAAATGAATCGAATTTTACTCAAAATTTGCAAAAAAGGGGTCAGTAAATTTTTCCTCGATTTTCGTCACATTCGAGCAGATTTTTTGAGGAAAATGAAACCCCACTTTCACGATTTTAATAGAAATTTTCAGTGATGTTATAGTGATTAGAACTGGTGACCCTTCAGGGTAAACAGTTGTTGAAAAAGTAAGAGGTTGTATTCAAGACACGATCGTAGATTTGACGTAGAATTACGTGCACGGTATCAATATTCGGCGACTGTGTTAGGGAAACTACTTTTTCCAATCCCACCTCGTTTTCTGATGACAAAATTACGCATCTTCGAGCACAAAATACACGGAATTTTTGGTTAATTAAGTAGATAATAAAAAAAAACAGAAATTGATTCGAGGGATTTCTTGTAAAAAATTTCCATTCGCGAGATATTCGCGATCAATCATATAAATTCGAGATTCTTTTGCTTTTTCTAGCGTCCTGGAGAGATCTTACCTTAATTCGAAGTGTTTCTAGTTAATTGACAAGGTCATGTGGTTTTCGGTCATTGCGAGAATTTTTATGTACCACTTCAATACTGTTACGCATATGACCACAAACGTTTGGTTGCTGGGTACATTATGAAAGAGTTTTGGGGGTGATGTGGCTGGCAGCAAGGCGAGCGAACGTTCATTGAAAATAAACTCTTAAACAACAATAATTTATGGTGGTCCTGAAAAGAACCGTTTTGTCGTGATGGTTGAGTAATGCTGAGCTATTTGGCTTGCGGACAGCCTTTCGTTGTGTACTGGAGAACAATGTTCAACGCCACGCGCCGAAAGCACTGCTGCTGCTGCTGATGATGATGATGATGACGACCACACACGGTGATTGAATAAGCACCGTTCGGCGAGACCGAATCAAATTCGATTTTGTAATCTGTGTTAGGGAATCAGCTTTTTACATGCAATCGTAACCTATTGAAAATTGATAAATTTTTAATAGATTTGTAGAAAAATTTCCAATCGATTGGCTTCTTTAGAATTAAAATCCATCCGCCATTGACAGAGTTTTAAGTGGTCGAAACCTGACCACTTTTCGTAACGCAGTCGATTTTGGTTTTTTTTTTAGTTTTCGAGAATTTTTGAGGTTTTTTCAAAAAAAAAATTTTTGAAACAGATTTTAGAATGAATTCTAGAGATAATACCAAAGTTTTTCAATGAATATTTTAAGGGAATTTTAGGAAAATACCTACGATAGTTTCGACTAGAACTTCCAAGTTAAGTGAGTGAGTTCAGAGTAAAAATTTAGGTACCTCTCTGGAAAATCCCATAACAATCGTGAAGAGTTGGAATTCTCTTCGATTCGTAAAAAGTATCAAGGGAATCGAATTTTGAGGATACAGTTCCAGAAAAAATTCTGTGGTGTAGTGGTAAGCGTGATTACCGCTTATCCCAGCATGCCTGGGTTCAATCCCAGTCGACGCCGCCGGGATGTTCTGAGGCATAACATCTCTGATCACGCCTTCCTTTGGAAGGGAAGTAAAGCCGTTGGTCCCCGGTTCATGACTTGATGGGTCGATAGGTAGAGTCCAGGTGTGGGAGCTGCTTCTTTGGCGTCGGTAGCATTGGTGCTCAGCACGGAAAACAAGATCGACGGAAAACAAATCAAGGAAAAAAAGGAGAGTTCCAAGCAATTTCCAGATGAATTTAGAGAAAAACTCCAAGATAATTCTGAGCAAAATTTAAAGACCATTTTCGACGGGAGAATTTCCCCTGCCGAATAAAGTTGGAAGGAAAAGGGGATTACAAGTTTTGCTCTTAAAATCTAATAGCCCCTTTTCAATTGTTGGTCGAGAATTCAGAGGTGAATTGCATGGGAATTCTACGGAGAAGCGAATTAAAAAATGTAAGCTTCAGTGAATTCAGTGAAAGAGTTTAAAATTCGAAGAGAATCTATGCAAGAATTTCAAAAATTGTCCGAAGCTGCAGACACGAACTTGTACAGCTTCTTCTCCTCGATTTTGAAATTCACGAAACTCTCTGGATCTGTACAAGTTCGTGTACGTCTTAGACTACAGGTTTGAATGGAAGCTTTGCTTAACACAAAATTTGCGCGAGTCTGTGTTGCGGCAAGAACACCCTACATCCCGGTTATGAGAACACGTTACGGTGGATTAAAGTACGGTACTATTGGCCAAAAATGGCCATGCATACCAAACGTTATCTACGAGCTTGTGTAACGTGCAAACAATGCAAGCCTACTACTGTAGCTTCTGCATCGGAAATGGGCAGACCGAAGGACACCGAGAGGGCATTTCAAATGTTAGCACTCGATTACAACCAGAGTCTCCCTAGAAGCCATTTAGGCAGAAGGGAAACTGCCATTTATTAGTTCTTAATTATCTTAAATCGACAGAAGCAGACCACTCTCGATGTTTGTTACGCGATCGGCTGTTTACTCGGCAGCAACCATTGTGTGGTCCTCCTCATTGTTCTTCATCAGCAGTTCTTTCGGCGGTCAATGCGTTGTCGACTTTGGAAACCGTTCCATGATGAGTGTGTGAGCGATGACCACGTTTTGCGTCCATTGCTACATTGAAGCGGCTCCAGTTCTGGTGGTTTAGGCTTTTTGGATAACGAAAGATAAAGTGTTTATTGTGTTGTACCTTTTGACTAATTTTTTAGATGTATTTTATAGTGTCCAAGAATCTTTGTCTCTGTAAAGTTAATTCGATGAGCCTTATCAAATAAATTAATAAACAACAATTCTGGTTTCCTGTGAAGAACATCGAGACGAAAGGGATGCGATAATGCCACAGCCTTTACAGGAAAATAGTTTGTCTCTGCTCAAGCAAAGAGGAATCCGTCACTGGCCAAATGCGAGGCATCATAGCCAAGCAAATCCAGTGGAGTGGACAAATCGGACCACCAACGAGTGTTTACGAATATACATGCAGCCAGATCAACATTGTATGGGATACCAAAATCGGAGATGTAGAGGAGTTGATTAACACCACCGTCCATGCTTCGACTGGATTCACACCATATCGCATTCTGTACGGGCCTGAAAAGGTCGTAAAAGGAGATGAACACAGGCAACACAAGGCAAGGGAAAAATTTAGAAAAGAAGTAGAATGAAAATTATTAGAAAAAGTCAAGAAAATCTACAGAAAAGTGATGAAAAGTACAAGGAAGGCTTACAATCTGCGTCATAAAAAGTTTACTCCAACTTACCAGATTAGCTAGAAAGTGTTCAGCCAAAATATTTGGCACTCTTCAGCAGTAGAGCATTATAATACCAAATATTAGCCGGTATATACACTGTGCATCATCACCGCAAGACGGGATAGCAGCTTATATGAGGTGGCGGATGAAGCAGGATGGAATCTCGGTGTATTTTCCGCCAGCGATCTTCGACCAGACCATGAGGCCATGGCCCAAGTAACCAAAACTTCCGCATTCAACGATAAAACTCACTTCCAAGTTCCATAAAGTTCCGACAGAACCTTCAAGTTCCATAAAGTTCGGACAGAACTTTCGAGTTACATAAAGTTCAAATAAAGTTCCGACAGAACTTTCTTCCCAAGCAACCAAAAGTTCCGCATTCAGGGTTAAGACCCACTTTAAAGTTCCATAAAGTTCTGATGCGTACTCCTATCAACTTGAAGTTCAAAAAAAGTTCCAAAATGCATCCCTAAGCACTTCTTAGGAACTTCAGGAAAGGCTGAAAACATGGCCACAACAAAGTTCCGAAAAAGTTCCCAGTGGAACTTCTTAGCAACTTTAAAGTATCTAAAAAGGTCCGTCATAGCCCACATGAAGCAATCCGTACTTTATTAATAACAAAATTTAATGTAAGTAAATATGAAATGATCAGTGGCTCAAATAAATGATAATTCTTATATTTATGCAGTGCATCAATATTCTATCCAAACATAATAAAAATAAAAAGAAATTTCCTAGTGTGTTGGAATACCAGGTGGGCAAACACCAAATTAAAATTCATCAAGGTTTTGTGTCTCGTATTCAAGTCAGTCAGCTGGCACTGAAAACTCCATCAATAGAAGGGACAACAGCTCACTATAATATATCTCAGATGACGTAGTGGTTCGTGCTGGGGATCTCACGCAGAAGGACTGGGTTTAATTCTTCAAACAGCTCCAATGCTAATAACTAATGCTGATAAATCAATACACGTGCATGTCTACCTTTAGAAATAACTATCATAAAGACCTGACTTTAGAATTAACTTTTATAAAAGTGCGAACAATATGAAATTGGTGCTTTTTTTATACTAATTTTCTAAACGTTCCGTTCAAGTTCCGCCAGAAGTTGCTTAGAATGCTCTTCAATTATGGTACCGGAACTTTCAATTTCTTATAACGACTTAAAAATGAGACTGCTTAGAATGCTACAGACCACCTTCAACCAAGCTGCTTAAGCTACAAATAGCCCTTTATCAGAACTTTTGGTTACTTGGGGGGGGTCGGAGTTCCTAAAAGAGAAAGGGGTGTGAGATCTCTAGACCATACACTACACTCAAAAAAGTCCACACGTCTGAT